ATAGGCTGTTGGTAGTCGTGCATCCTTTCTTATGATTGAATTTCTTGTCCATGCGTCAATTTTCCCATTCCTATGCATATCTTTCAGCATGACACCTAAGATTCCATTGATCTTCATAGTTGGGTCCTTGTTTAGTATACGATATGTTATCCTATCTCGTAGAAATTATTCCATCTTCTCGGTATATTGTTTTTTGTCCATTGTCACTGTAGCTCCTCCTTTGTCAGCCTGAAGGACTATTTGTTCATTCGTTTCCAGGGTTTTGCGTATCACGGCAAATCTCTTCCTGTGTTTAGGCCCCTGATGTGTCAAGATCTTTGGAATTAGTTCCATCTCCATTTCCTATTTTGTTTCCTCAGAGAACTTGTTGGCGATATTGATAATTTCCACCAGGGTTTCTCCTAGAAGGCTTCTGTTATGTTGAATTGAAAAATTGAATCCTTTTTCAGGAACGCGGTTGTTTCGGGATTGAGGGGAATTGATAAAAAGTTTAGTACTTTCTTCCGATCCTCGTGTTGATCAGTAGATGTTGTCACCTCGGAAGCCACTTTAATTGTCCTTACAACAAGAACAAGTTGCGACAACGAGGTCAACCAACTTCTTTAGTCACTTCTGTTAGTCTATCTTTGATAAATAAGTGGCATATGCTGATACTAATTCCAATTTAATTCTAACCATATTTACAGCAAGTAAATGTGTCCCTTTGTTCTTTCTATTCGTTCCTACCTGAGCCAAGTGTCTGATTTCAAATTTAATTAACTCTGTTCTCTTTATTTCTAGCCACAGTTTGCCGCGCTCTCTTCGACGACGTCCTGTTCTTCTAATTCCTGCACAGTTGGATTTAGCAACCTACTCGACTCAGCTTTGATTCGGCTTCTCACCACGCACATAGTCATTGATCCAGTTGTTAGTGAGATCAATCGTGGCTTGGCCTCCACCCAAAATGGAAGTTTAAATCCAGCTTTAGTGGACCCCATATTAAAAAAAAATGGCTGGAAGACTCACGAGTCACTTTTATGGTTCCTCAATTTCTATGGCTGGATCTGACTTTGGTTGTTATTTTAATTTTTGTGGCTGCCAAGAATTTGAAATCAGATTATATTTATTTTGAGTAGGTTTCGATACTGAAACCGGATTGTCATAATAGAATCTCTTACCATACTTCAAGCTGAAAGTCCAAACTATCCTGGTGCCATTCTCGTATTCTTCATACTCGTCATATCTACGCACCCACCCAACTCCAAAGCATCTCCGCTAATATTTTACTAGTCTATTCGGACAGTTACTATTATGTCCGTCATCTATGCTTGCGTTCACTGGCTGAACTGAAACTTGTTTTGTCTTTTTCTGTGAGTATGCTCTTCGTCTTATTATTTATTTGGTTTCGGGCGTTCTGTACCATCGTCGGCTAAGGCCGTCTTTCATTTCATCATTGTCATACCTTCTATTCTTGTGGAACATGGGATTGCTGTTGATGCATCTCTTACGAATAATCAAATTTAGAAAGGATTGTTCCAGCAATCGTCGGCTATTGATGTGTACATTATGCTTCCCATTCGCGACCCCTTGAAATCTGGCGATAAAGGCAATTTATGATTAGTTGACGTATAAACTAAGTCAACTCATAAACAAGTGAAACATTCCATATTATGCACTTGCTTGTATATACTTACATTGTGCATCTAATTATGTGTAGGCCATTTCCTAATCTTTATTGGTTGTGTCGATTCATATCTTTCACTAGGCTGTTTTTAATTTTATTATCTTAGTTTTTGCTTTGTATTGGTATATTATTTGTACAGAGAATACTCCCGAAAGCACCGATTTGCCTTATTGCAGTCTTCGATATTCAAAAGTTTTACATTTTCCTTGTGTTTAAAACTATTTCGTATTTTAAGTAATTTTCTACTTTGATGTTAAATCAAACAGCCATTTTGCTTTGACCTATCCCTCATCTTTCTCACTACAACAATCAGTTTCTTTAAGTTACATTCGCGTCTATCTCATGTAATCTTGAATTATCCGTCGTGCCAACCAATACTATTTCTCAAGTCGTACCTTGCCTACCATTGGACCTTTCAAATTGTGAACTTGCAGGAAGCCGAGTCAACTCCTCGACGCCAATTAGAAGCCGTTGTTCTTACCATGAAAGCGTTCAGGAAGTAAGAACTCTCAACTCGACTTAACTTCTCCAGGTCTTCGTCTTGTGACGATCGGCTGCTGCTGTCGCCCATCGCCACGACATGGTCACTTCCATATCAGCCGTTTGCCTCATCGACCTTCGTTTACACCTTATCTCCGTTTTATTGTCAATTAAGACAGCACTTCTTCCACATTCTAATCGTGCGCCGCCGTTTGCACATGCCTTTTATACATAAATCTCTTTTACCTTTATGTCTCCATCTGCTAAATGGTAGAGTCGTTCTGCGTGAAGACGAATGGGCTCGCTAACCTCTGTCCTTGTGCACAGAACTTGCTCACTGAGATACCTTGCTACAGACTCGGCTTCAAATCGACACCACTCATCCACTTTGTGCCTCTTCATACTGACCCACAAATGTGAGGATTAAAATTAATGTTGTATGGGTTATTTTATGGTACCAACCGAAGAAAGGCTGCGTTGAAGTTGTACAGTAGTAATAAGTTGTGCATAGCTGGGAGATTTTTGGTATAATAAAGGTTTGTATGTGTTTAAGTTGAAGGAGGATGGGCAGGAGGATAGGGAATAGAGAGCGATTTGAACATTGTAACTGCTACAGCCTGCTGGAGTGGTGTAAATACGAAGAGAAACTGGGTTTCGATGAATCTCCTCAGATAACATTGTTGGGAGGACTTTAATTTCGTATCAAAGTGCATGAAGAAGAGACTCGTTGTTCGATATCACCAGACGAGGACGGATGAATCTCGTACTGCAGCCGTTTGGCTTATATACGACGTTCAGGTTGACAGTCCACAAGACTTCCTTCCTCGTTTCAGATGAAAACGTTTATCATCAGAGCTGGGTGTCATTCTTGTAAAAGTCTCACGTTAACACTAAAGCAAGAACACTATCCGGCTCTAGCTTACTTCTTTTATAGACTCAATTGAGCAAAAAGAAAATTAAAAACCTGGATAGCTCGATGTAGAGTGGTTTGGTTAATTATCCTTTATACTAGTCCTGTTACTTTAGCTCGAGTGTATGCGTATGTGTGTGTGCGCGATAATGAGATACGAGTTTATAAGTATGAAAGTCAAGTTAGGGAACCATTTGCCTTAACCTCTCAGTCTAGGGTTATTAACGTTTAACCCCCAAGGAAAGGTAAGACTGGGCTGCGTAATCTGGCAACTCTAGTTTGTTTGATCAGTTTACTCTAAAGTGTTGGAACGAATGTGAGTGAAGTTAGAACCATCACTGAGCAGACAAATTAAGTCGCCTTTTTTTTGACGGCGGCTCAGCACCCTCTCTTTAAATCTATGAATTAAGCATACGTAGTTCCTACTCAACTTTATACCACCGCTCCTCACATTCAACGTATTTCCTAATCTGTTATTT